GGATGGGGCATGCGGTTCTTATTTTTGGGGGGAGGGGGAGGGGGAGGAGGGGGAGGGCGAGGAGGGGGAGGGGGGAAAGGCCTAACGGAAACAGACGGCATTTTGCCAGTAGCGGCGTCTCCCACCTACTTCCTCCAACTCCATAGAGTGACAGCAGTGTCTAAGGCCAACACTCTCCCATACGCTTAGTAGGCATGACCATCGCTCTTTTGGAAAACAGAAACATGACACCACGTATCTAACAGCAATTAAGGCTCCAGACATCATTCAGCGACGACTTTACAAGTCATCGCTCCGCTGAGCAACTTCGTCGCCACTGCGTCCGCGCCGAATATTCGCGGCAGCTTCAGTCAACGCCGCCCGCAACGCACCCTCATTATGGCCTCGCTCCACTGCTCGCCACACGCAGAAAAGTCAAAAAATATGGCGGTGTATCTTCCCATGTTGTAGCGGAAGATTCCTTCTCATTTTGCACTTTTGGCGAGTAGTGGAGCGAGGCGCACACCCGAGACAAGGGTGCCATCTTCCACTGAGCACAACCCACTCTTTTTTTTTTTTTTTTTTTTTTGTGTGTGTGTGGTCCGATGGACCACGGATCAGATATTGAACTGATCAGAACAGAATCAACAGATACTACACTTGATCTTAGCCAAAAGGCCGAGAAAGGTATAGCACAACCCACTCTCGTGATGACGCACACTGATCAGCACCAACAGGCGTATCTCACGGAGTTGCTACACCCATGGCAATCCAAACGGAACTGCCATGGGTCATGACAACCGACCCCAACCCCAATCCCGACCCTCAACTCCGTCCTTCAGCAGACTCGTCTCGCAGCAGCCCTTTTTTTTTTTTTTTCTTTCCCTGAAGGGAAAGGCTGCGCCACGCTGGAAGGGTCGAGCAAGCAAGCTTACCCGTTATGCAAATCCCAAAAAAAATATAAAAAACAATAATAATAATAATAAAAAACAATTATCGTTCCAATTTTAACGGATGTCCCGAAGACGGTCAGAACAGATACTACACTTGATCTACCCAGAAGGCGGAGAAAGGTTCGCAGAAGCTTCCCCCTTCCAACGGGCCTCACCACGCTAGTAGCGTGTATAGTTGCGAAGAACCTGACAAGGTACATCCGAGTAGCGGACGTATTTCCCCACCTTCCCCGGAAAGATGCGCTCGCACTTGCACCTTTTGTCTTTTCGTGAGTAAAGCATTGGGGGGCGCGGTCAGACGACTGGCGACCCCGGGAAGTTCCGTCCCGCCCAAAATTGGCGATCAGTTGAAAATCTACAGCAACGACAGAGAACCACGTGAACATCGGTGGCACCTATTGTCGTTTCGTGAGTAGTGTTGGGGGCGGCTCGAGCGCGCTGACGAAAAAGATGTGCGCGGGAAGTTCCGTCCCGCCCAAAATTGGCGATCAGTCGAAAATCTACAGCAACGAGAGAGAACCACGTGAACATCGGTGGCACCTATTGTCGTTTCGTGAGTAGTGTTGGGGGCGGCTCGAGCGCGCTGACGAAAAAGATGTGCGCGGGAAGTTCCGTCCCCCCCAAAATTGGCGATCCGAATTGGGTTTGAATTTAAACAGTCGAATACTTGTAGAGTTGAAAACCCACAGGGCTGGTACAGTTCTGAAAAGCGAAGAACCGCATCACTGCAGGAATATAAGAGGTGGACCCCACCGCCCAAAGTCTGGAAAAGGCAGTTTCGGTGGTAAAGCGACGCGGAAGTCCTGGAAGTTTTGGGAAAAGAAAAGACGGGACCCCAAGTGCCTCTTTTCCAGACTTTTGGAAGAGTTCTTCCAGACTTTCGGACAAGTTTGGCTGTTTTGTCCGCCGTCGAAGCCCGGGTAGGCCGTGGTGGACCTGCGGGGTGGCCGCTCACGGGTCGTGGGGAGCACCATGCGGACACAAAATGGACCTGCGCGATCTTCCAAGTCTGGAAGACGTAGGGGGATGCCCCCCCCCTACCCCTTGCGTTTGCCACAAAATTTCGGCGAGGCTGACGTGGATGGGCCGTTTTCCGCCTGGAAAAGGACTTGGAAACTCGCTCTTCTCTTTTCCAGGCGCCACTTTTCCGGGCGGTGGGGTCTGGGAAATACAAAAAAAGGGACTTCCAGACACTTTTCCAGAGGCTGTGGGGTCCGAGAAAACACCACGCGGAAGAGTTCTTCCGAGATTTTCCCCTGTGGGGTCCACCTCTAAGCCTAAAATAGGCACAAATGTCCTCAGACAGAAGATCAAGAAGCACCCGTTTGCTACAGTGGTAACAATCCCAGTGAGTCATGTCATTGGGACGCTGGACCCGGTTTCCAGCAGGTGTTTCTCCCCACCAATAGATGGAGCTGAAACAAGGTCTTTTAGGTACGTCTCAAGAGAAAATGCAAACATTGTGGGCGGAACTCAAAGGTCTCCCGTCCCAGAGATTAGCCAGCATGCTGTGGCTTCAAGCAATATTGGCCACAGCTTCAGCAGTCTGGTTAGTAGCGAAAGGAATGGAAATATCCACAGTATGTTCAAGATGCAGATGGGGATGGGAACCATGTGTACGTGAAAAAGAGTTCTGAAGCTAAAGAAAAGGCCACGCAAGGTTAAAGATCCATCTGTTTTCAGTTGTGCGGACCTATGGCAAAAAATGTGTACGGAGGGTTTTCTTCGTTTCCGAAAGGCTTTTCTTCGGGCCTCGCCCGCACCAAACGAAAACGAAACGAGTGCATCTGGCCACGGAAGGTGGCAACATACACTCGTTACTATGTATAGCAAACAGATGAACATGGCCATTTTCTGCGGGAAGATGCACTCGTTTCGTTTTTCGTTTCGTGTGCCGTGCGGCGAAGCCCTTCGTTTCCCGTTGTGGTTTCCCCCCCCCCCCCACTTTTTTTGTCCTTCTTCTGTTTTCTCCATCTTCATCCAGTTCGATCCTATTCATCCATGATTCCATCATGGTACGAATTGGGCGCCAATCTTCACCTGGCTTGTTTTTATTCTAAACCATGAGTCTCTTTGTTTTGTCAGTCGTCGATCTCTCGACTCAGTGCTGGCACTGCTGGGTACGTGAAAGCTGCAGGCGATGGCTGAGCAAGCTGCTCAGACTGTCCAAAACAATGCCGATCCATTTTGGCGACTGCCGTCTTCCGCCGAGCATATGGCACCGCGGTTGTGAATGCATACAGCCCCTCTTTCCGGTCCGATACTGTCATAATGAGGGTGCGTTCTGTTCGGGGGAACACGCTAGACTATATATGTTCCGCCTATTCAGATGGAAGCAGGACTATGTCGGAATCAGTCGGATGGAGTTCATGAGTTGACCTTCCCTCGCCTGGCAGTCGAGAAGAATTGAGCAAACTACTTTTTCCTGGGCAGGCTGGTCTGTCCATCTGTCAGGCTTGCTTGTTTCGAAGTAGTTGTTTGTTTTCCGTTCTGCTTTCACCTCTAGCATCCTTTTTTTTCAAGCCCTTCGGGTTAGCATTTGGGTGTGATATGAGAATTCCTCCCTCACTCTCTCTCTCTCTCTCTCTCTCTCTCTCTCTCTCTCTCTCTCTCTCTCTCTCTCTCTCTCTCTCTCTCTCTCTCTCTCTGTGTCTCTCTCTCTTTTGCTCTCGCTCCCTCCCTCCCTCCCTCCCTCCCTCCCTCCCTCCAATCCAGTAGTCTATGCTTTTGTAACGATTTCACGTGAATGTTGTGCGCAGACCTGACTCTGCTGAGGAGAATCACTCTGCTCGTTCGGTCATTGTTAGAGTGTGTATCAGTTAGGTCGAATTTATTGTGAGTTGGGTGGAGAGAGAGTGCCTTCCGCCTCATCGACGTGACAAAGAGACGCCTGAACGTCTTTACTGGGTGCTCCGTAGGTGGGGAATTGTTGTCTTTTGATGTGAATGGTAGTGAGGAAACTCGTGTCGGTTGAAATGTTTTCGCTTCGAATTGTTGCTGAGGTCCGACGACGACTGCCGCGGCGCCGGGAGGAGCAGATGCAGCGCCGGCTCCTGCAGGGCCCGCTGCAACGGCGGGGNAGGGGAGGGTAGGTTCTAATTGGTGCTCAACTGTATACACAACCATACCCACTCATCATACATCTGCAACATGGTCTTTTTGTATCTTTGATTAGTTGGTGGACAGACTGCTAACACCTCACAGATAGATTAGATTAGGACTGTTGTATGCTACCACAGCCAGTTCTGTCTAAAACTGCTGTAAGTGAACCAATCAGAGTACACTTAGACTATGTTGACAATCTGTGTGAATGTTGTAGACATGCCACTTGATCGTAGGGGACTTGCCGGACACAACTATTTTTAGAAAATTAGGTGCCGGTCAGACACATGCTGTGGTAGGATTCCACTAGGGGATTCTAGTGCAGATACTGTCTGCCTAACTGATGAGCGGAACAGATCCTGTTGATGATAGAGCAGACAATAGGAGACTCACACGTTCGGAAGCATTAAGGGTTCCGCACGTGTTCGGGGCCCTGCGACCGGGAGACGAAAGACGGCTCATAGCCGAACGTAGAGCCCATGCACTAGCAACAGCTAGGGCAACAGCAAACGCCCCAGCTAGGGAACAGGCTGCCCCAGCAGCTAGGGCAGCAGCCATGACTAGCGCAGCAGCAACCTCTGCGGCTTTGTCTGGGACAAATGGGACTCACTTGGGAATGCCATTGAATTCCACGAGTTCCACGGGCACTTCCGGTTCAACAGGTTCTCTACAGTCCTATAGTCAAATGGCGGGCTCGCAGTACAGCCCGCTGACCCGACGAGAGAGGGAGCTCAGAGAGATCCAACAGGTCGAGAGGCTCCGCCATAAGTTAGAGAAGGAACTGAAAGAAGCTTCCGATAGAGAAAAAGAGATGAAAAGTAGAGCAGCCAGGCTTGAAACATTAGAGGCTGACAAGGCTGAATTAGAGGGCTTGGATGAGTCATCTATGAATGACCAAATGAGAACGCTGAAGAAGAATATGCTGTCGCTGCATGCGCATGTGGACAGCAGATTAAACTTCATGCAGAGCACTGTAGACCAGATCCTGGATGCATTGACAAAGCCAGGATTCAGGCCACCAACACTATCGCCGTTGCCGTTATCGGCGATGTCAGGCCCCTTTCCAGTTACACAGCTAAGTGGTACGTCTGCAGCAGCCGCATAGACTGTTGCATCTTCTTCTTCGGGTCCAGCGGTGGGAGCTACACCACCGCAACAACTTGTCTCTCAATAGGGACAACAGGAAGGTCAATGGTACCCCAAGACCCCAATGAAACCGCCTCTTGCCTTCTCAGGTGAGAGGAAGGATGAGGAACTCAACACATGGTTGAGGACAGTTCCGGTTTGGGTAAAGGCCAAGAGGACCTTGCTAGAGGACGAAGTGGTAACTGCTGCATCTTACCTTGAGGGTAAGGCAACCAAGTGGCTAGATGGGGTAGTTGTAAAGGCCGGGTATGGGAGACGCATGGCGGACTGGGCTAAGTCTCCGACGTTAGACCAGTTCATGGAAATGGTAGAAGCTCGATGGCATAATCCACAGGAGGCACAAAGGGCCACCGATGCCATTAACAAACTAGACCAACGAAAGTTCAAGTCGGTTAGAGAGCTTACGACTATCGTTGAGAGCCTGATTCTCGTCCTAGGCATCAACTACAGTGACCAGTTCCTTTTAACGACGTTTGTCAGATGTTTACCAGAGAACATAAGGAACTTGCTGGCCAGCGAGGCACGCACTGGAGTACCATTCGTTTGAGACACTGTCTAGGAAAGCCTTAGATTTGGAGGCCACGCTAGGCAATGCTCAACCAACCTCTCAGACTGACACGAGGAAGAAGAAGAGTCCTCAGGAGTGGAAGAAGAAGGGGGCGAAGTTGATGATGGTTGAGTCCGATGGGACTCAAATTGAGATCGATGAGCTCACTGACCTGATGGACTACTCAGAGTACGACGGCGAGGAGACCGCTGAGGGTAGCACCCTCGCCGCAGTAGTGAAGACTAAGGCTGGTGGCCGAGGGAAGGGCCAACCAAGGAGTCAAGGGAAGGTCGCCTCCAATCAGACCAAACAGGCTGATTGGGTCAAGGCAGGTCTTGATCAAGACGTGTGGCGTGACCGCCGAATGCGTGGCGCTTGTATCAACTGCGGAGAATACGGGCACACGCAGTGCAAGTGCCAGAACGCTAAGGTTACGCAGAAGGTAGCTCCAAAGATGGGGGCAACCTATTCCCAGGCTTCTAGCTCGGGAAACGCGTGAGGCCAGTGGAAGTTTTAGCTGCTTCTACTCTTGGTGAAGTGGGATTGATACCCTCCCCACTTAGTCACCCCGCAGACTCATCTAGACCAAACTATGCTTTGTACATTAGATGTGTCTGAAGCCTTAGAAGACTTAGAAGGTGAGTGGTCAAACAAGCACCCTCGCGAGTCTTGGGTGGCACTAAAGAAAGGTCCTAGAGGGGAACATTTCGTGGTGGAGGTCGATGTAGGAGGCCACAAATGTGGAGCCTTCATAGACATAGGCTCCACGCGGAATTACATAAGTCGCGACTGTTTGGAAAGGCTGCACCTACAGGACCGGGTACGGCACCTTAGTAGACCAGTAGCATCTACTTTGGCCAACAAGGAGCTCATGATTGTAACAGACTACATCAAGGACGTAGTCTGTACCTTCTCCTATGGAGGAGGAGAGCTTAACCATAAGATCTCGTTCTTGGTTAGCGACGACTTGCCATTCGACATGTTGTTAGGCATGTACTACCTCGAAGTTGCTAAGCCCCAGTTTGACTGGGATAAGAAGGTGCTCAAGCATAAGTTGCCCGATGGCCGAACAATCAGATTGACTAAGTTCAAGGCTAGTAGTATTATAGATACCTATGGCTGCTTGTGCGCATCAGCGTTCTACAACTACTAAAAGCAAAACCAAGAGGAGGGTATGTACCTTGTGTATGTCTCTGAGAAGGGGGAGGCCGTTAAAACACCCCCAGAGATAGAACGCGTCGTTGCTAAGTTCCCTGATCTGTTTGAGGAGCCCACAGGAGTTGTTGAAAGGGAAGTCGTCCACGCTATAGAAATCATTCCAGGGAGTAAGACCGCAAAGGGAAGGATCTATAGGATGGCCCCCGCCGAGTTAGATGAACTTCGGCGACAACTTAAGGAGGTGACAGAGAAGGGTTGGATTCGTCCTAGCACTTCCCCTTACGGATCACTTGTGCTATTCGTACCGAAGAAGGGGGGTACTTTGAGGATGTGCATTGACTATAGAGGCCTCAATGCCATCACTGTGAAGAACGCAGAGCCTCTACCTCGCATAGACGACCTATTGGATAGGGTGCAGGGATGCAAGTACTATAGTAAGATAGACTTGAAATCCGGATATCACCAGATCGCAATAAGACCTGAGGACCAATACAAGACAGCCTTTCAGACCAGATACGGTCTGTATGAGTTTGTAGTGATGCCCTTTGGTCTTTGTAATGCGCTGGGTACGTTCCAGCACGCTATGAATCGGATCTTCCATGACCGTTTAGATAAGTTTGTCGTGGTTTACCTAGACGACATTCTGATCTTTAGTAAGTCTGGCGAGGAGCATGCAAAGCACGTTGAGACAATACTCTCACTCCTGCGACAACACAAGTATAAGGTCAACTTAGAGAAGTGTGAGTTCGGTCGCACTAAGATACTATGCTTGGGTCATGAAGTATCCGCGGAGGGGATTTGGCCGGAAGATGCGAAGGTGGCTAGTATTTGAGACTGGCCACGACCTCAGACAGTCACTAAGGTCAGATCATTCTTAGGAATGTGCGGCTACTATAGGAACTTCGTTAAGAACTATTCTACAGTCGCCTCTCCTTTGACTGATCTAACTCGACTTGACACACCGTGGGACTGGAGTGATGAGTGCGAGGGTGCTTTCAAGAGATTGAAGCATGCACTCATGAATCATGAGGTTCTCATGGTTCCCGATCCTCAGAAGCCATTCATAGCTGTCTCTTATACACATCTAGATGTGTATAAGAGACAGCACATGAGTACATGAGCAAGAAAATGCCATCGAAGAAATTGGCAAATTCCACCTACGAAAGGGAACTTTGTGCTCTCTATAAGGCACTTGTCCATTGGAGACACTTCCTCTTGGGAAGGTTCTTCTACTTGAGGACTGATCATCAGACCCTCAAATGGATCAAGACTCAACCGGCTCTTTCTGATGCACTCAAGCAATGGATTGAGGTCATAGACCAGTATGACTTCAAGCTTGAGTACCTGAAGGGAGAGTACAACAAGGTTGCAGACGCGCTATCACGTAGAGCAGACTACCTAGGTGCGCTAGTTTCTGACTTCGGCGTATCTGATGAAGTAACTCAATCATTGGTGGGAGCCTATCAGGAAGACCCTGTCACGATGGACATCATGCGCAAACTTCAGGCAAAAGACAAGGCCACAAAAAGTGAGTTTGTGATGGTGGACAGGTTACTCTATCTTGAGAAGGCGGGAATAAAAAGGTTAGTAGTTCCATCTAGTGAACAGTTGCGTAGTTTATTTCTAGGCGAATGTACAAGAAGACGAGTGCGAACCTAGTACAACGATTTTGGTGGCCTGGTATGCTTGATGACGCAAAGAAGTACGTAGAGACCTGTCAGGTCTGTCAGCGGGACAAGCCGCGCACTCAAGCACCGCTTGGGTTGCTGAAGCCCTTACCTATCCCCGTTGGTCCAGGACTAAGTGTTTCCATGGATTTCATGGATACCTTGGTGACCAGCAAGAGTGGCAAGAGGCACATTTTCGTCATCATTGACCGATTCACCAAGTACGCTAGACTAGTGGCCATGCCAGAGACAGCCAGGACTGACTATGTCACCAAGTTGTTCAAGGACAACTGGTGCGGGACTTTGGTTTACCAAAGACCATCGTTAGTGACAGAGATGTCCGCTTCACCAGTGAGCTGTGGAAGAAGACTGCGGAACAGATGGGCAGTCAACTTCAAATAACTTCAGGGAATCATCCTGAAGCCAACGGACAGGCCGAGCAAATGAACAGAGTTGTGCAGCACTTGCTGAGGCATTACATCCAGCCCAGCCAGGATGACTGGGATGAGCAATTGCCTCTCATCGCCAGCCTGGTACAACAATGCTGTACATAGCAGTACCGGCGCTAGTCCTAATCAGCTACACTTAGGATGGAAGCCTAGATCAGCACTAGACTTCCTCCTACCTTAAACCGAACCGCCGCAACTCCAGGCACACTTGAGTACGGTGTGTAGTATGAGAAGTTGCTGCAAGAAGCTGTCGAGCACATGAAGAAAGCTCAGCAAGCAATGATTGCTTATGAGAATCAACATCGTCGACAGTCCTCATTTCAGGTGGGGGAACGTGTCTGGGTTAAGGCTAGCGAGCTAGCACAAGAATTTGGAATCTCTCGTAAACTAATGCCATAGTATTTTGGTCCCTGGGAAGTCCTAGATATAGTGGGAGATGAATTGGATTGTCCTACGTATGTCATTCGTGTCCCTGGACACCTACGCACTCACCCAGTCTTTCATGCCTCAAAGCTTGCACCTTTCGCTGAGACTGATCAATTCCCTTCCAGGAGATCGATGCTGCCCCCAACCATGGATGGACAAGTCGACATCGACGACATTGTGGATCATAGGGACATGCCTGTTGCAAAGCCGCTGGGTAGAGGAAGACCTCCTAAACCCAAGAGAGAATACCACGTCAGATTCACGCATCACACGGATCCCAAAGAAGATCGGTGGTTCACCAGGGAGGAACTGATTGAGACAGCTCCTCAGGTGGTGGCAGAGTATGAAAGGAAGCTGAAAGGGAAGGCACCTGCGAAGTAAGCATCTCAGCGGACTTTCGAAGCTAAGGGGGATGGAATGTGAGGAATGAGCCCTCAGATGGGGCCTTGCCGACATTGCTTATGTTCTAGGCATAGGCCCCCAGCAAGCCTTGTGCCCGCCCTAAGTGAAGGCGGGCTAGACCTGTGACCGCCCTAAGTGAAGGCTGGTCCGAATATCCACGTACAGGCCTTTCTTTCAACATTTCTGTAAAGTGGGTATSYGACAGTTGCAGCACGCCAGTTGGTTGGTGTGCATYGTGGATCCCAKACTCCTGCGTGAAGCAGTTGAKCCCAGGGCCTCAGTTGGTTGAGCCCTGGGCGCAGGCCAGTACAGGCCGACACATCACACATTGGACGCTGGCCAATCAGAAAGCAGCATTGTCGTAGCAAGGCCAAGCGTACCAATGGGAAACTGGGAAATRTCTGCATCTGGACGGCAGCCTGGGATAAGGGCTGCAACTRTATTCCTGGGTMACATTGGGGTGGGCCTGGGCGCAGCTACCGGGACACAGGCACAGGCTCGAAGCAGGCYGCCCACACGCGAACACTGGCATATAGGCAGGCATTGCGAGTGGGCAGGGATCCTTGGCCAATGCAGGCATTGCYGGCACGCTGCGCGAACGCGAGGTGTGCTGCGCTGTGTAAAGMTGCGTTGTGCGCAAGGCAGGCAGGCAGCGCTAATACGGTGGTGCGCTGCCTGGGCGCTGGGCGCTGGYGGCCATAGCCTGGGCTGCTGAGTGGGCGCAGTGGAGGTGAAGGGCGAAGGTGGTTCTTCGGAGGTGAAGGGCGCTGTGGGTTATCAAGGGAGAGTGTGGGTGAAGAGGAGTGACGTACCTGGGTGGAGAGGAGGTCGGCATTGGTGTTGACATCATCACTCGCTGGTCGTCAAGTTGTCTGGTTGCTCGCATGCTGTAGTTGTAGGCTTAGTCTGTAGAGTAGATAGGGCGCCAGGCGCCATTCAAKAGAGAGAGCTACACTGGGTTATGCTGTTGGTGTTGCCCRATTGGGCTATGAACATTGACTCACGATTCTGCTGTTTCGTTCTCAAATGGATGGTTACTCGGTTCCATTGTGCTATCTGCTTTGGCTTTGACTACTCGGACTTCAGTGTGATTTTGCAATTTGGATTTCTGTGCTTCGTCCATATTCATGTTCCTTGCATTTCTTTTCTTTTGTTTGAAAAAAAACAGTGGATAAGGTTGCTTCTGTATGAGTTTGTGCGCACTTTCAAATCCTCTCAAAGGACAGTTGTGACAGACTGTCATAACGATTGTGACAGACTGTTTCGTCGGACTTCCACCTACTCAATCAAGAGGCGTGTGTGTGTGTGTGTGTGTGTGTGTGTGTGTGTGTGTGTGTGTGTGTGTGTGTGTGTGTGTGTGTTTTCTCCTCTGTTCATGTCTTCCCTGCAGTACTTTCAAAGGCCAAAGCATAAGTGTTGCCCTGTTCATGACGAAGACATGAACAGCGTTACCCTTACTCTTTCCTATATCCTCTCGCAGGATAGAAAAGGCCAGATCCTGTTGATGGCCTGCTCATGCTGTGTCTGAAAGATACTGAACCGACGAGCGGGCAAATGATGCATATTGACAACAACAACCATAGGAAAGCCGCTTCTCTGAGGCAGCAGCATTTTTTAGCAGGTCAAACGGTGCTCACAAGAGAGAATGTGAACACGCTTCTCCCGTTATGACTAAGGACTATGGCTGAAGGACCCTGAGACAGCAGCATTGATTGCTTCCAAAACAGGGAGGATATATCTCTGCTCCACCCCTGTTCCTCCTTATCAGGGGTGGATCAGCTTAAGAGGTAGCATCTCCCTACGTTTGCTAGTCACTCCTGGGGATGTAACTCATGGTACCCTGCTTCTTCTTCTTCTTCTTCTTCTTCTTTTTCGGTTGTTGTTTTCACATTCTGAATGCGAACTCATAAATCATGGTACCTCTAAGTTACTCCTCTTAGTATTTTTGACCCTGTGGCTTTCTGGTCTTTGTCGTTTGTCTGTGACAGATACCGAGGGATTTTATACAAAGGCACAGTCTCAGGTATTGGCGAAGTATGGCAGGAAGTTTGACTGGAACCTGAAGGCGAAGATGATTGGCAAGGCAGCCATGGAGAGTGCTCTGGTGCTGGTCAAGGAGCTGAACTTAGAAGGAGTGCTTGCCCCGGAAGATTTCCTTTCTCAGCGAGAAGCAATACTTGATGACCTGTTCCCCAACAGTGAGCTCATGCCAGGTGAAGCACCGAATTGAACCTTGATTCACAACCTTGTTTTCCCGTCCTCCTAACACACTGTCTACTTCTCCAAAGTCGAATGATGCCTTTCTCTAGGTGCGAGTGGCCCATCCTCTCTCTCTCTCTCTCTCTC